ATGCTTGGTATAAGTCTCTATGCGCATGAGATGTGCGTACATCTTTACAAGGCTAAGGACGGTTGTTACACCTTGTTGAAATCGTTCTAATCATGCTTTTGCAAAATACTTTATAGAGGATGTAAATAATACAAGCCTCTAATGTCGAAATGATGTAAATGAAAATGATCACGAAATAGTAAATGGTATACTTTCATACGTTAAAACTGATAAATTGCAAAAAAATCTCTCCAATTACAATCTCGCCAATTTTTACATCACTCGTAGACTTGTTCATCACACAAGGCATTGATTAGCAATGATTTAATTTGTTTGAATTTTGAAAATTTTTTAAAAATTCTTTCACCTTTAATTCAGAAAGTGTAAACATCAATGCTTTGCATTTTTGACATTACTGAACAATTCCTGGTATGTTTAATTTCCATAAAAGGAATGTTATTATATTTTTTAATTCATAATATTGCAAATCAAATGCAATTGTGTTATATTACGTTTAGCAATCTGATATCAGAAAAGAAAAGAAAATTGTCGGATACCAGAAAAGAAAATCAAATTAAACTCACTTTATGTTCAAGTACTGCAACTTCCCGCACTAATATCTTCGATATCTCCCTGGTTCTTCAATGTTCAATATTTAAAATAAACCCTCATGTTTATTAAGTTCAACTATATTTACTGAATCCTAAGTCCACTAACAACGCTTTTAGCGTTAACGTCGGTTTTAATGTAATGGTCACTTTCTATACGAGTATACGAGTGTGATACTGATATCATGCACAAGATTCTCATGGACTGTTATCTTGTGTAATATTGTCTGATTTTCCGATGTCCACACTTCCACCATAGTCTCTAGTTCGAAACATTTGCATTTGATTTCTCATTGATGTTCAGATGTATATCTTGGCTGAAATTGATTGGTTCTAAATATTCTCGAGGTGGTGCTTGTGCATGAAATGCAAACTTCCGTGTAAATTTTAGTTTGACATGAAGTGCTGCAGTTTTTGCGCACACAGGTGACCAGGATGGATAGTCTGGAAGATTTGTTATCAGGGAGTGGACGAAGAAGTCGTTCTTATATTTCGTAGTCTGTTGTGCTCAAATTGGCGAGAATTATCGAAGCTGTAGCTTTGATTCTGTCAACCTAATGCCGCAATGCGATGCTCTCATGAACTTGACTGATCCAAAGCCTTTTCTAGGTTATGAGGTTAAAGATCATCCATCATCCAATACTGAGAGCATCGTACCTGGTCACTGTGAAATGGTGGGACGACAGAAGAGAAGAATCAACGATTTCTATGTAAAGCAAGGGAGAGCCAATCAACGTGAACCACGCTCTTAGAATGCTGTTCCATGTAACTTCAGACCACATGGAGAATGTACAGTACAGGCATGATAACAAGCTCTGTGAGAAATGTACATGCATTTTTGCAATTGGGGGATTATATGAACTGGTTGCGGCAGGTGGACTTGGGTGGAACAGAGGCTTAACTGAAGAATCCGAAGGACGGAGGTCGATGAATGCCTCGGCCACATAATCGACGAGCATGGAACTGGAAAATGATGACTTCGGGGATGTGCTTCGCAGACTTCAAGGAGATAAAGATGAAAGTGCGGCCATCACAGATTATGGAATCAAGTGCCTTCTCGAGGTGCAGCACTGGACGAGCTGAAGAGAAATCCAAAGCACAGCGCTAGTTCGATATTTGTGACGACGTATTTGCCGAGTGCGCAACAACAGCCAGAAGTTGCAGCAAGTGTGTGTCTCAGACAATAGATTAAACCCGACGACGAGCCTCTCTGGACATTGTTCGCCTGCGGCATCATTGAACGGCTCCGGGTGGTTCTTTTGTTGGTATATCATAAGGCAAATATTATGCTTTTGATAGCACAGTTCAAATTATCTGCATCCATAAAATTATTTTTTCTGATCTTTTCAGATTGATGTCTAAATTTATTATGCAGTACATTTCACTGTTTCTTCCCAATGACGAAAAATAAATTTCACAAAAGTTATCATTTTCAACATTGTTTGAAGGCTTGAAATAATTCTTAAGAAAAACTCATTCAGAAAATTTTGAATGGAAATATATAGTAACCAATATAAAATAATCCAAGGTCATTCTTTTGTATAAGTCTTGATTGAAAGAAAGTTTAAAAAGAAAGGAAAATTGGAAGAAGATTAAAAAAATAAAAACTATGTAAATTTTGAAATGCTAATTATATATATTTATATTTGATCCTCGTCCATTTACAACGAGAATTGCGGGCCTGATGTAAGGCCTGAGCATCTTTCACCTTCGTTCGCACGAACCAAAGCGCTCGAGAACTGGTACCATAGCCACTTTCACGGAGAAACGAGCAAAAAAAGAGCAATGTATGGCAATTTTTTAAAAGAATGCACCACTCGCCTGTAGACCGTGGGCTTGACGATTTCAGGGTTCTCTATACCCGAGCTGGAAGGGGCATGGCAACCCCAACGAAGTCCATTTCGGATCCTCAGAAGTAAATTTCAGATCCCTCGGTCTTAAGTGGCTGTCCAGAAGCTTCTTCGGCACTGCAGACTTTTGATACATAAGATTGTGCAATAAATTACCCCTGCTCGGGCACTGTCAGACTGGTATACTCTAAACACCAATTTAAAAAAATTCTCATAATCTGTAGTGGAGATCTATGAATTATATTTTTCATGCATAAAAGGGAAAAAAATTGAGCATGGAAAGTTTTTGCGAGAAATTAATTAAAATAAAATATCTACCATATATGCCAGCTAACAAAATACAAATCAATATACCTTGAGACTAGAGTACATTAAATAAATTAATATCTTTGACTGCGGTTGGTTGCTGTACTCTTTATGAATTTTTTACGAACTTGAATACAAATGATGACACAAACAGCCTAATTGGATTTTTCGTTTTTCTGTTGCAATGGTTTTATAGATAATAGACTTATTGAAAACTAGGTTTTTGTGAAATATGCAATTCAAAAAAATTTGATTGCAATCGCACAGTGATCTCTTCTCATTCAATAATCAAATTATTACAAATGATGCTCAAAAATTGAGTCTGACTAGCGCTCTGGAAACTCACAGAAAATTTTACAAAATATGTGATAAAATTATATCGTAAGATGTGATAATCAAAATATTTCATCTAGGATATTCATATGAGAAAATAAGATAAAAATATGATCTTCTGTAAACGTTCCAAATCTTTTCATCATTCGCTTGTGGTTTCACAAAACATAATCAATTTTTTCATCAAAATGAACACTTTACCTCAAATCTAGGCAAACAGATTCTAGTATAATCCACGGTGTAACATGTGATATAATAATAATCCACATTATACAAAGATGTTAAGAGTGTAGTCTAGAACTTTCATACACAATACAATTGCTGACGACTTTGAATATATAATGAATCTAAGTGTTAGTCGCCCCATGTAATATACTGCGCAGATATTTTTATACACTGTCCAGTGTGTTTTGTTTTGATCATTATCTACTCTGACCACGGAGATTTTTTTTATTCCTTTTATCCAACATTGCTACTAATTACTGTTAAAACATCAAGAAATAATCTCACATAAAGTGGATATTGTTCAGATCTGGATTCGGATGTAGTTACATCAAAACCACGTCATTTCACCTCATTTTGAAACATCAACGAGAAATGAAATAAATACGTGGCACCGTGATAAATTTGTCAAATCGATTCCTTGAAAAGTTCTATTATCTACAATATTTTCAACCTACAGATTTTGACAAATCTACATTTAGTGTGGGGTCAACAAAGATTTATTTACACATCATGGTGGGATTGAATGTTTGGCATATACTATGATTCAACAACATTAAACTCAACTCATCTTTCCATCCAACTTCAAGCAATTTTCAATACCTGTCTAATATTTATCTTGAATATTGGATTTCTATAAAAAAAATTAAATCATGAGATAAGATAATACATACAAGAATTTGAATTAAAGTTTCAGCCAGATGTAAAGAAAATGAATTTTCTTAGTGAAAGTATATAAATTGATAACATAAGATATTTTACAATTTTTCATGCCAGCAATGTATATTACTTACTGGTATGTTTTTATATAATATATGTTTCGAGATTACTTTAGATTAATATTTACATATATAAAATAATAAACATATCAAGTTGTATACAAATTTTTTTGTAATTATTATTTTCGTAAAAATATATAATGTTTTAAAAAATGTAATAAGATAACTTTTGTCGCGAACTTACATGCATTTCGTTTCAGAGAGAAAACATTAAACAATTGTTGCAGGTATGTAGGATATTGTGAAAGGGGATTAGCTGGCTATTCTTCAAAAATAAATTTTCTATACATTTTCAAAGATTTAGAAAGAAAATTTAAATTAAGCTGCTTCCCTTTTGAATAAACTTGAAGAAGATTAGCTTTCTTCATTCCAGATATAATTTCATACATTTTCAAACATTCAGGATGAAACCTTAAGTTACGTTAATTCTATTTCGAATCTATCCTGAGAGAAGATTCGCTTTCTATGTATCAAATATTTCAAAAGCAAAGCTCGCAATCCTACTTCTAGCAAACTTATTCACATCGTACATTATTTCATTGATGTTTACTCAGATACACAAGATTAGAAGATCAAGACCTGTAAAACATAAAAGTGTGGCAAGATTGTCGAGCCACAATTAAACAGTGAGGTGTTTCATCACAGTTTTAAATTGTAAAGCCCAATTCCCACTTTCTTCGTTTGATACACGAAATATGAAACAGAACATCCCATGTCTCTGTGAGCCATAGCCATAGCCATATGGCTCATAGTCCTTCACATTTGGTGGCTTACCACTTTTGATAAGTTACGCCTCTACGTTCACATGCATTGTAATACAAAAGAAGCACCAGGAGAGCTCGACTACGGCTGGGGCCTACTAGCCAACAACAAAATACACGTTGAAATAATTCACTGTGGAGATGTCAATATCCTCGTGACGGTGGAAATACAGAGTACAGTGTCAAATCGCCAGCGACTCAATTGTCGCAATATTAAAATTTCAAAATTTTGAAAAGTAGAAAAATTGGGACCGATAGGAAGGTCCACACAAGGACCGAAGCAACACTGACTGACAGAAGAATTTTGCTAGACTCCTTTATCACTTGGAATCTAGTACGGTACAGACCATCGGGGATCCATATTCTTCCTCTCCTAAACCATATTTTAAACTGATTGAGCGGTGAAGACTCGGACTTCAAGAAATTGGCTAACGTTATGCTCTTGCGTACGTACCCCTACAATGATTACCTGAAAGCTTTCCACAGAATTTTGAATATTCTCTATCTTCTCAATTGATTTCTAATGCTACTATATACTACACAAAAATACCCATTCCACCATTATCCGACTTTCCCTTCAACATCGACTTGTTGAGGGCCTATCATACATAACTCCGACTACTGGCATATCTGAACTTGTTCCGAAAACCCCAACGCAGGCAGCCCTGAGTGTGAGTCAAGATTCTCGAAACTCCCTCTGCGCAGTTGATTTAAGTGTGAAAGATCGAATCGCAGACAGAAACCTACTGATTAAAGAGTTTAGAGTATCAGGCATTTGACCACGAATGGGGCCTTCCCCACCGCAGTCGGGAATTAGTACAACGGTCGTTAGCTACCCTTCCTTGCCCACATGATCGGACGAGAGGGGAGGCGCGAATGAGAAAAACTTCAAATCAGACTTCGGGTACTCGAGCTGCGCCTGGTGTTGTCGCGGGTGCATTCATTTCCACCTCAGTGCCGCGGTGTTGGTTAGCGAGCTCCCCGTTGAGAGAACCCTTCTTCGACTTGGAAACTGCACGAACGAGCGGACGAAATTGTAAGCATAGATGATGAGAGCACTACAATATTCCCTCCAAGATTCCCTCCTGATTCATGCAACAGTCACTTCGGATGCAGTATACTCACTTTCATCGTCGGACCGTCGAGACATGGCGCTGGATAAGGTCTTGGTGAGGCTGCGGCTCTTCCTCTTCCAGTTGATTCTGATTCGGCGGGTATTTACGATAGGTTTCTTCGGCACGGGGATGAACTTCACAAGGAATCCAAGAGGCCAGCTACACAATGACCAACAGCACAAGTTTTGTCATCCTCCAGAAGTATCAAGCAAAAGTATCGTTTTGAGACTTGGTTTCGAAAATCCTCCCCGTTGACATGGAAGTCATCAAAAAGCTGACGCTAGCGACTAACTGATGCACTGTTCTAACGAGTACCAGGGCTGAAAGAGAAGACAATAGACGGAAAAAAGAGTCTTTACCTAACGGAGCCTATGGCGATGCAAATACCCCATTCTCGAGCAGTCAGAGCTGTCGTCGATGCGAACCTCGTTAAATATTGGACAATGACAAACTGGAATATAATTTCAATTATGATAATACCAATGAACAGAAAATTCTTGTGAAGTCCTTCAAATACATTCTTCTTCTCCGGTCTTCGTGCGTTTACTTCATTAAATATCTGTCAGAACAAAAAACACAGTTCAGCACATGACAACCTACATTGCACTTCATGAACAATAAGACAATTCATAGATTGAAACCAAGACTGCAGATTTGTGGAATAACTGGACCCTTCGTATACCTGACAAAAGACGAAAGCGTTGAAAATAATGGTTTTCCTGACTTCATCGTTCTTAGTCTCCTCGTCGTTAGATCTGCTTACTCCAGTGTAATTCAGATTCAGAATGCCCTCACCGGCAAAGTCTAGAACCAGCAATACTGTGATTTGATAGAAAGCCTGCACATTAGTCCAGCAAAAACTTCGTCAATCCTGAAACCCATATCTAAGTATGTCATGCTATTGGTCTAACTCCTCACCTTCACATCATACATACCACAGCTCATAGACTACAATATTGCCCGACCAATATACATCAGTTGAGGTAAAATCACCCAAGTGCAGAAAAAGAAAGAACTCATGTTCACGCTTACTTGTCCAAACAAATTTCGCCACATGATGTTAGTGATCAACGGCTCCTTTCGTCCGACTGGTGTTTTCTCCATTAAATCATCAGTAGGTGGTTCGGTTGCCAAAGCAAGAGCTCCAAGAGTGTCCATGATCAGATTCACCCACAATAACTGTAGACGAAAGGCACCCTTCAGTAAACGTCTGAAGACTAACGCGAAGATGCAGCATTCAATCCATGAAATCACTGAACCAAGCATGAAGAGATAGCGTTAAAGAACTATACATCCTGTTAACTACTATCAAACCAATTACCTGAACAGCAGTGAGGGGCACGCTTCCGGATGACACAGAGGTTACGAAATTAATAACCAAAGCTGTCACGTTAACAGTAAGCTGGAACTGGATAAACTTCTGAATGTTGGCATAAACAGACCTTCCCCATCGTACGACCTACACAACCAGTTGCGAGAGGTCAGGAAACTTACAATCATTTCTACCCAGTTCTAAGTGGTTCCAAGTACTCACGCTCCACTGTCACCGTCAACTTATATTCATGTCCACAAAACAGCCTTCTCTGTCTATGATTGTGACATGATCATGATGATGTGATCTAGTAAATATGATCTAGTAACTGAAATATAAGACAACAACATGATGTAAGATCAGAGCCATGACGACATCAAAGCTAATCAAATATTAATATGGCCTGGTGCGAGAGGAGTACCTTGACAATAGAGGCAAAGTTATCATCCAAGATAACTATGTCGGAGCTCTCCTTCGCCACTTCAGTTCCCGAGATTCCCATGGATAGTCCAACATCCGCCTGCAATGTCAAATACCAAATTTTGTTACAAGCTGCACAATCTGTGACACGTAAATGTCCACAAGGTCGACTAGCACGGACAGGGCACTCAAGGTTTACAATCCGACTTGTCACATGATCGCTGACAGATGCTAACTTTCCGATTAACGGGTTCAAGCAGATATTCACCTCGTGAAGTGCTGGTGCATCGTTAGTTCCATCCCCAGTAACAGCAACAACTTCACCTCTCTCTTTCAAGGACTTCACAAGCAAAAGCTTGTCCGAAGGCGAAGACCTAGCCATAACATCAATTTTAGGTAAATCCCTGTCCATCCGTTCTTTAGACCATTGGCGGAAGTCTCGACCCTCCACAACCACACCTTCCTTCGAGAGAATGCCACATTCCGTAGCAATGGCCTTGGCGGTAATGACACTGTCACCAGTAACCATGCGAACTTTCACGCCGGCCATTTGACACCTCAAAACCGCCTCTTGAACTCCTGGTCTGCATGGGTCCTTGATTCCAATAACAGCTAAGAAGATCAAGTCACTGTCTGGGATCTGCCAATCTCGAAGTTCTTCCTCAACCTTGGGAACAGTCTTAACATCAAGGGGCTTGTATGAGAAGGCAATACACCTTAAACTCGCGGCAGCCATACCCTCAATAATGTTCTCGAGCTCCTTGGCTTTCTCGGGAGTCATATCTTTAATCGAACCGTCAGTGTCAACCCACTGGCTGCTACTTTCTAATATCATCTCAGCGGCACCCTTCCAATGAGCGTGAATTTCTCCATTCTCCAACTTCACAGCAACTCCTGCCCTCTTCTTCCTTGAGTTGAAAGTCTCAACGTGGACAATAGATGTTTTGTGCTTGATTTCATCGAAGTCCATACCAATCTTCACTCCCCAAGAGAGCGCAGCAGATTCTGTAGGACTACCAGACACCTCTGGCGCTGTACCATCTTTGGCGTCAAAAACACTTCCATTACTGTTTTGACAAACCCCAGCTAGAAGGACGTTGTAAGTCTCAGCCTTTATTGTTTTCACTTCTTCATCGTTCTCCATATTTTGGCCCGCTACCCATGATTTGACAACATTCATCTGCGTGGCGAGGAGAGCGAGATTAGTGGAACCGAAAATGATCAAAGTCTAAACTCACCACTTTCAGATGTCAAACCAATATTCCACTATGCGCCACGCTCTTTCCAAGAAAAAGCCCAAATCGATACAAGAAAATTAATAAAATTATGAATTTTACCTTATTCAGTGTAAGAGTTCCGGTTTTGTCGCTGCAAATTGTCGTTGCAGAGCCCATTGTTTCACAGGCTGCCAAGTGACGAACCTGTCATCCATTCAGATAAGATTAATTTCCGTGAAAAGAGATGTTAAGAATATTCGCTACATTCTTATTCAAAAGATGACGCTCTTGGCGCTAAGCGCATCCTAAGAGATGGTTAGGTATAAGACTCAATTCTCACAACTTTAAAAGCCAAAAATACTTACCAATGACTTATCTGCCATCATCTTTCTCATGGAATACGCCAACCTGTAGACAATCAACAACACCAAAATATAAGTAGACGTAAAAGGTTTAAAAAGTTCCGCTGCACGATACCAGAAAGTACAAAAAAGCTCAACAAATTAATTGAATACTCACGTAAGAGTTACGGCCAATGGAAGACCTTCAGGCACGGCCACCACCACAATGGTAACCTACAGAACAAAAGACCAAGAGTCAAGAAATCCGCCATTATGACACCATGCTCGGTAGATACAACCAACAACACTAAAAACTTAATGTTACAACATACATAGGTGAAAAAAGGTAGCTTACCGCAATGGAGAAAATTTCCACAATGTGCTTAATAACTCGGCTTGGTCTTTTGTCACGACCCTTGAAGTCAGCCACAAAGAAACTGGAAACGACAGTCAATGGGGTTAAAAGGGCTCATGTCATGAGCGGTATCATTTCAATGTAAGGTCAACTGAACACAGTCGTCAAAATTTCTCGCTCTGCTATCACTAGAACTTAGTATGTGGATAAATCGTGAATGTTCTCGACAAGGCGTACCGGATGAACAGGATGCAGAAGACCAAGATGGCAACGGACAGACCAATTTGGCCAATAAAAGTTGCGGCTCCATTCAAGCGAACCTGCGAAGAGTTTCAGCGAACCAGATTAGAGTGGACCAAACATCAAGTTCTACGTATGTCTCGTAAGAACAAGCTGGCATTCGTTGTGCTACCCCGTAGATAACAAAACCCCAAGAAAGTTTTACCTGCAGTGGTGTCTCTTCACCATTATCTTCAGTCAAAGTTGCCATGACTTGACCCCACTCAGTATGGGTACCGACGGCAGTCACCTACAAGAAAGGTCAATATGAAAGTTAACAATATAATCTCAACAATAGGCGTGTATCAAGCGTCATTCAATGCTGTCGCGACATATTTGAGCTGCACAAAACTGATCGACAACAGCAACACCTCCAGTGTACCTACCAGCATTGTTCCATAGCCGTCCACAACTTTGCATCCAGACAAAAGGAAAGGATGCTTCGAATCCTTATGAACCTGCAACGTACATGAGCATTAGCATACATCAACACCGCATGCAGTACGCTTTAGAAATCCTCAAGATAAATGAGTGAAGTAGATAAATCTGAGTTTCTCTGTAGACATCCAGAAAGTTATGACAGTCAAGTGATAACATTGGTTGGGTGCTTAGTATTCAAAAAACGATCAATATATTACACACAACAGAGACACTTACAGGCAAACTTTCTCCAGTCATACTCGATTCGTCAATTGTGAGCGACTGCCCGCTAACCATGAGACCATCAGCCGGCACCTGTAAAGCAATAATTTTCATCAATAGTTGCCCCATAACAAGATCTAACTGTCTGCGGCAGGGTTCCTTAAATTTTCGAAAACACGAAATTCGTATATTTGCAAAAAATTACCTGATCACCAATGTTCACAGGGACGAGATCACCAACGACGATGTCAAACACCGATATTCTACACCGACGTCCTCCTCTTATAGCCTGTATTATGGCGTAAGCATTTAGATAAGGCAGCCAGATGAAACAAGTAATACAGGACGGACTAGATTTTGTCCCATTTTAACCACCCAACAAAACTAGAGAAAAAAATGATCAAAGTAAAAGAGATTATAGCGAATGCTCTTGGTAGACACTAAACTTTAATTCATCCCCTATGGAGTAAATTTCACAATTTAAATAAGAAATAATCGAACTCCTACCTCGATTTGTATGTTTTTCTTAACATCATTCAAACTACGAAATTGCAAGGATTGCCTGTAGTCACTTGTTGCTGATAAACATCAAAGACACCACATAAAGTGAAAGATGTTAGTCGTAACGAAGTCGGCAGATTGAACAACACAGCAGAATAGTTCATAATAATTAAAATATCAAGTGTACTTAACATAGCTTGTTTTTCCACGACAAAATTTACAGCGGTTAACTCACCAGTCACAATGATCACGAGCAATACTGCAATTCCAATACTAATACCGTCATACCAGCCTTCTTTAGGACCCTGCAGATAAAAAATCCAATTGTCAAGCAAAGCAGGTTTTGATGGTGCAAACAGAACGAACGGAACAAAGACTGCAAATTAAAGGCTCGACTCAAAATTGTGCACTTACATCAACCCACATTCCTGTGGCGAAAGAAACAACGGCACATGCCATCAAAATGATCAACGTAGTATCATGGCATGCCTCCCACACGAATACCTGATTACAGGAAGAAATCAGACGATCATTGTTTAGAACACAAACGATATCCTTGAAGAGTCCAGAGCTTAAAATGCATAAGCGAGACAAAAGAAGGAGCGAATAGATGTATACAACCAAAAGAATAGAGGAAAATTAAATTCTGAGTTGACATACGAAGAAATGTTTGCCAGGTTTGGACGGAATCTTGTTGCTCCCGAAAGCTTCTTTCCTCTTTTCAACTCCAGCGGGATCGTCATCTATCCCATGTTCAAGATCAGTTCTTAGTTGCTTGGCTACGGTCTCAACTCCGCCCTGCTCTTCTAGCACAGAACTCTGCTGATCTTGCATGAGATGGACGAGCTGATCCGTCCCAATCCCAAATCCTTCCGGAGGAGGATCCATGTTCTCTGCAAATTAAAAAATGGTAACAGAAAATTAGCAAAAAGTGCACTTACATTATAATTACCATACAAGTTCCTGGTGTTCATATTTCAAAATGTTGTAATCATGAACATGCTTGAAAATTCAACAGCATAAGTAGTCCGACTTGCTCAAAAGTTTACCTTTGATCGTATATCTTGCGCCGGCTTCTTTGAACCGTTGTACAGCCTGCGAAAACGGTACAATTCTTGGGTGTAAGCGATGTCAAGGCTCATATTGATCTTCAAGTAGAAACGTTCCCCACTGGACTTCAACCGCCGTTTGAGTCCAATTTCGAACCAGGCCTCAAACAAACGGAGCTACGAATTGAAATGGTGACAGTGACGAATTCCCAAATTTGCCTTCCACATTCAAGAAAGAAATCTCACCCGTAGAGCATGAGTGACAGTCCTGAATCTGCTGACAAGCTCGCCATTCTTGTCGGGGTCGCTGCTGACGGGTTCCACATTTTTTAGATCCAAGACGTACCGAAAACGCCTCGAAGCGTTCAGCGCAAGAGTTGCTTTCTGCAAGATTAGTCAATATACTTGGTTACATACTGTGCAATATGCCCAGTAAAGAAATAGATTTTAATACTAAAGGGTCCATGTTTCTACTAATAACAGGAACAAGACCGCATGTGCCCTTCAGTTTCACTCTCAATCGAACTGATTCCGCAGCTCGACACTTGCATAACCAAGAAGAAGGGATAGTGATGAAGCTGAAATGTCTTGCAAGAATTTCGTCCAGGCTCAATTCCCCAATAAACACACTCGATGTAGATGATCATCATGATCATCTACATCTACACCTAAAGCCTGTGAACTTCGGGCTCGCGAGAGGGGTGTCAGTTTCAATGGGGCGAATAAAAACATAGTGAAGACGCTCCAAGTTCACATCGTATATCGGAAGGCTGCATCATCGCAAGCCCCCGCTCCTCAACAGTAACTCCGTGGCCACCGCCGAGGTCCTCATCCAACTTTAGCAGGTGTCGCTGAAAATGCTGGACAATGGACATACCGCCGTCGACTAACATGAAATGGATGCATCGCATCACGGGGATGTCATGCACGATGGATGGGCAAGTACTGTTGACGGTTACCGAGCGTCGTCGAACCATGAAACCAACCCAATAATTTCCACTGACTCGGGCGTTGAACAGTTCCAGAGAAATGGCATTCCAAGACTCCTAAGGACTCCAGCTTCCGTGCATTATTGGGCGACCTTCTCTGAGGGGAAAACAAGAGAGACATCGAGAGCAGACAATGGTCAATCAGGCACGTCGTGCTGGCTTACCCTCCATTTCTTGAGCATTTCGAGCGAAGGCTTGGGTGGAATATGGAAAACGTCATCTTCCTCTTCATCCTCTTCGCGCATTCCACCGTCGTGATGATCGACTGGTGCAGCCCTCAAGGGCGAGAAAGAGTTCTTGCTCATCTTGCAAAAATTATCGTGCAAGGGTATTCCACTAACGGTCTGTTTCCAGCAGCGGTGTGTGGGGTAAACAATTCACTGGCCTCAGCTCCTTCGATGCAGACCCACAACCTGGCTCGCCCTGAGCTCTGTAAGGATGACGTGAGATTACCAACATGCGCATCCAAGGCCGAAACTTTCCTGTAAAAGTCAACGAATATTTGGTAGCTGGGAAACACTATGCGTCTTTGGCCAGTGTCGTGAAAGTCCGTCAATACTCAGCAGTGCTGCTGCTGCTAGGAACAAGGTTTGGTGAGAAAAGAGTGACAACCCTAGACTACAGGAAAATTGAGCTGCTGCGCTACACGGCTGACTATCCGACACACCTCACTCTTCGACAGACAGGCATGTGTGACGAGCCAAGGTAGTCAACAATTGTCCACCGGGTGCCAAGAAACCGAAGTGCCTCGAGAAGCGAGTACGAGTCAATGTGGGGACGGTGTCACTCAGTGGAAGGTATAATGTTGGCTCTCATTCTCAGATCTCGCAGACAGGAAGAATATCCAAGAACAACCAGCGGGTTGCCTCCGCAGTGCGACTGATGATTGCCGCTCTGCTTTGCTTCTCGGCTCGCAGGTCGGCAATAAGAGGGCGATGGAAAAGCTCTGTGCGACTTGTCGTTCACGTGCTTGCTGCTCCTTGCGCGCCGGGAAGAGTTCGGCTACCCAGACCGATCGCCATTCTGCACAACGACAAATGCGGACAAGTCCCTCATCGTTCTGATCTGGCTGCTGTTCGATCGTGCTATCACTATCACGAACTGCTGCAGAGTTCGATGGTCAGTATGAACAGAGTCCTTATGAGAGCTTCTTCGCTCAGCAGCTCCTTCGGAATGGGTCTTGTCCTTCCGCGTTCCTTCCTCCTGAGCCCACACTCCCCGACTAAACGAGCGCACTTACTTTCTATAACCCTCCTTCTTCTTCGGCATAATCTGTATATTCCCGAAGCGTTTTCTATTTTACTTACTGCGCGCGATTCTGGTCGCGGCCCAGGGATTCATTCATTACCATGCCAAACCAATGCCCCTCGCGCTCATCTCTCCCGTGCCACCACCCCCGATTTTCGACTCCGCTCGACTTCGTGGCTGAATCTGAATCTCAACCTCAGCTCACCGCATCGATGGCACGCCTGCAATTTAGGCGTAAGCTTTGGGCGTAACTATACAATGTATACACCAGGTGATTTTCCCGGCTCGTACAACTACCCTCCTGCTTCTTGGGCTACCGTACTTGCTTCCTCTTCCTCCTCCCCTCCTTCAATTAAGACGTTATCGCTCTCTCTCTCTCTCTCTACCATCGCCATCGACATTTGTTTTTATAACCGCAGCGAGGAATTCCAAAGGCTGGGCTCACGTCGACACCTGTCGAACACCCTCAAATTCGTAGTTAATCATCCTGAATTTGAAGACCTCTACTTCGAATTTGGGGCCCCCCATTCTTTTCGATATCGCTCCGCTTGGAAAGCGACTCTTTCATTCGTAGTTCTGCCCGCCCAGAGGGCTGACCGCGCATACGTTGGCCATTTAATTCCACTTATATTTAATCACGATGCGGCTGGATTATTGGACGATGAGCTCTTTCGTGATAATTTTAAAGCACGTACCCAAGGGGAATATGTGCATTTCGATGCAGTTATTGAGTTCGGAGTTGGGAGTTGGGAGCTGGGGCTGGACTGGACTGGACTGGACTCGAGGGTTTTAGTGGAAGAGACTTTATTGGTGGAAGTAGATTAATCGGTGTTTAGGCATTGATTAATTTTATTCAATCGTATTTATGAGGACGAAGGGCAGTCGAATTCAGCACACCACTGCATCTGCGCTCGTCTTGAAACACCAACCGGACGGCACCAAATTACCCGAGCTTTAATTGTCGGATGTCCGGTCGACGTCGCGGCGCGGTTCGGTTACTGGGTATCGGCCAGTAACCTTCGTAAACCGATCTTCGGGTGAAGGTTCCGCATTACGGCGTAAATCTTTAGCGCGACGTCGAAGCCAACGTGGTAGGCTACTTCGACTCAACGCATCCCTATGCGGTGTCGCGCCCAAATCTAACGCCGCGTCGTGACTCTTCTACGGAATCTCGTGGAAAGGGACCGACGGATTTGTCGCGGTAACCGTCCGGCATGCGGAGGGTTCCTCTCTCCAGGGTCCAGGAAAACGGCCAAACCCGCTAAAGTAGATCTAGTTGGACTTTGCCAAATTTAGGGCTCGACCAACTCTTTGTCCGTATTGTGGTGATTCTTTTCCTGGAGGACCTCCAAAGCGGTTAGCTCTAAACTAAGTAACCTCCGCTGACCCCGATCAGGAGGAGAACCGCTCCAAAGTCGCCAGAATGTAACCACCACTATCGTGCATCTTTAGATTCTGCGGGAGCTGGATTGTAGACCTACTGAAGACAACAACAACCTGATTTATGATGACGAAATCTCTGGGAAATGTACGGGTATCTTCATGGCAAATGCGGCACGCAGGAAAATCCTTGACCCAACCCCCACAGAACTCGAATTCCTTGGGGTCGTGTGTCCTTGCAATTAATGAGCGTGAGGATCTGATCATGAGTTTAGAAGAACTTCGAGTGCGATTGTATGGCATGGTTGAACATCGAACATCCATCGAATATCGCTTTCCTTCACATCTCTTGGTTTGAGAGAAATGAACAAGTTCTCGAACTCTAGAGGCAAGGTGGAACAATCAAATCAAATCAAGCTCCATCCTAAAAGAGAACGCTTTTTCTAATCCTTAGCACCGGGAACATGAATATTAAGTCCCATAGAGTCCATGATACTACTCGCGATTGTTACTTATAAAACCAGCATCAAAGTCCTAAATAGTTTAAATCCCATATGTGACCTTCAGGTTAACATGACTTACCAAAACCACCAGAGTCCACATAAGCTCATGGCTTACGATGAAGGGGTTTGAACCCTAAAAGAGAAAAATGGAGAAGAAAAATCTAAATGCAGACGGCTATTGGTCAAATTATCTCCTTCTTGATACTTCTCACGTTTGTTCAAGGCACGACTTGATGGGAGCTTCCCATCCATTTTGCTATATTACTCGCTGTGCTCAAAGCAATCTGGTCGTAGTTCTCCGATGGATAATGTCCCCCAGCTTGTAAATCAGACCAATAATATCTTTGATCTTATAGAGCTGTTCTCCTAACTATCGGTCTCATTCGTTCTTCGAAGTGAGGCTTTGCCTTCCCACCAAAGTCGCTCACTGGTCTATGTTGTACTTGAAACGAAGCCTCTAACAATCTCATCGATTTTCACATCTGAGGATCTCATTTGCTTCTTGTGTTGGATCGCATCCCAAATCTTCCGGAATATACCAAACTACGAGCTCATTCTGGCTTCGATAAATGACAGCAGTGATCTGCAGAGAACAATTCACCCATTAACTTGTCTGCCGAGAGGTACTGCAATATAGTTGCACGTTACGATCTTTTGCACGAGTCTAACGAAACCTTAACCCTAAAGTCCAGTCCATATGCACAGAACGGAAAACTGGTTGGAGCTTCAAGACTGTACAAGAACATGGTTTGAATGAAACTGGCGGGAGATGGATTTTCTGTGCGTACCTGGTAGCGTTGAGATACTTTCAACTCGAGAAAGAAAGAGAAGGCCAAAAGTTAATTACCAGGACAGATTATCGTGCAGATTATCGTGGACTGTTCCTGCTAATAAATTGTACAGTTTCCGTAAGGCATCAACTGCTGAATGGACTAGCAGGCTTCTCCGTTCCTGTCCAGGGTGTTTGATGTGCAGTTAGCACGTGGGTTGTTCAAACGGGAAGTATCTGTATCCAATTCACTCCAACGGGTCAGGTAGATGAACTCAATGGAAGTGAAGATATCTGAATATGGAAAGATGTTCAAATTATGATTTTCTGCACAACGCTTCCAGCAACTCTGGGAAACACAATGAGCTCCGGTACTCGCATCTGACTTTCCGAATGAAAGTTTGGTTCTCCCAGTAATACACCGCCAGAGAGCCAGACAGTTGATTTTTATAAGAATCTTCATCAGAAAATTTAAGAACATCTCGAGCAGTCATATCTTCATCCATTGGATACCAAGTCCCGCGATCAATTAAAAGTTCAATTCAGAGAGTGGCCGGAAGTAGTAAAATACGAGCAAATCTCACAAATGTCAAGGACCGCACAGTACATCAAGACTGTGCGGTCTTGATGTACTGTGACATCAAGACATCAGACATTTAGACATTTATTACAAATTTTTAATCAGGAGAAATTATAATGTACCGCTTGGACAGTAGTGATGCTACGCTAGAAAAGTATGAAAACTGACATTTTCAATACTTTCCAGCATAAAAGGAACGAATTTTAATTTAATCTAGGAGGTGGTGGTGACCACCACCAGTACCTCCTGGATACACAGTAGTTAAAGTTACACACTAGGAACTGTCCCCTTGCCTTACGAGATGAGCAGTGAACAAGGAAAGAAAGGAGGATATTTTGACTGCTCGTGTATATCAAGGTATACACTGGTTTCAAAAAGAGAGAGTCAATCTTTTGTTGCAACCCAAAAGGCTGGAACAGTGCATGTTATCGAGCTGCATGTAGTGATTCTTACACTCATATCACGACACATTGTCATTGTGTGCAAAGATGGTTATTCCATGATCTTTTGATCTATTCAATTCGATATTCGAGAGCGAAAGGTGTACAGCTGGAAGCTGTGAGAATTTAACCTGATGTAGAGCATGGCAATGTGCCATCAGCTAAGTGGTGCAGATCAAAAATCATTGCCAGCTTAGTAGACTGATCACAGATACCCTACATAGTTTCATCATCAACCCTGCATGCATCTGAAGGTCCTGTATAGCTCATATACTCATACACTTTAATAAACGTCACAGTTTTACAGAGGCACCGGACAGAATCTACAGAACTTAGAACTTACAGAAATTTCATCTCACCGGCGGCTAGAATAGCACAGAACGTCCGAGTATAGCACAGCATGTGATCTTCTGGATTTCAGCAATACAAGACCATTTGACTCGTATAAATAGACATACTATGTATATTTGTAAATATATCGAATCAGAGTTTTTCCAAAACGTTCGAATCGTCATACTCATGATACTCGTTCGGAACGGATAATAGATGTTTCTTGCAGTTGATGCGCGTAGAAAATAGAATATTATTCATGGTTCAAAACGAAGCTAGAATTTTAGGGCCCGTTTGCTCTGGAAATAAGAGATATTGTGTGTGTGCTTCGGGATTAAGCTCGGGCTGAAATATAAAATATGGCCAAGAAAGGCAAGTTCCACTGCATAAGTGACAGAGTGGCACAGGCCTATGGAGAGCGAGGCTGCAGCGACTGCCAGTACCAGGATGCCAGATCATGTGCGGAGCATGTCCCTGTACAAAAGCTTTCCCAACTGCATGACGGAACGGAAGTTAGGATGGAGCCCTGAGGACACTGAGGCATTTAACATGCAACGCGACAGCAAACGACAATCGGGCGAACCTCGGACTCAGTTCTCTCCCGATCCCAAAACTTAGAAACTATGAATCCACTGTGTTGTCCGGTTGTACCCTCCAGATGCTCCAGACGATTATCTGACGGGGTCTGTAATTCGGCCCAGATTCCCAAACCCAGACGGTCTAAACATTCTTCCTCATAATTAAGACCCCGCCCAGCCTCACCTTCGGGACTCGAGTTACAGACCTTCGGAGTTGCTCGTTATTCTGTTGGATAAGCAGAGTATCCGAAGCCGAACTTGTCAGCAGACGGCTCTTCTTCTCCCTTCGACGCGTGGCATGCAGAAAGCCATCCAACGGTACTCAGCCCCGGTTCAAACCTTCGTGACCGGTACGTGCCCGTCTGCATCGGCCCTGCTCTTGGAGGGCGGAGAAACCTGATCTCCTCCGCTAGGAAGTGCCTAAGAATTGACGGCAGTCTTTTCCGAACAATTAGATCGCGACAGCCGTGTTCATTTACCGGCTGGTTTACCAGCGGCTGTCGGTGAGTCGGGAACTCCCTCTGGAACCGAGGCATTATACGGCAGTCCTATTGTTCAAATCTCCCCGGGAAGTTCCGAATAAGCCAAGCAGGTGTCGGTGACTTGTCCCTGGCAGAACACCGTTCCGCCGGTTCTCGCGACAAAACGCCGGTCAACACAGAGCAGGGAAGGCAGATAGATGATGTGCCAGCTCCTTGTCCTCTGGGCAATGGGCAGTCTACAACGTCGAGAGTATAGCTAGGGGGTTTTCCGTA